CGTTCGTTCGTTCGAAGATCGTTGACTGACGAGCGAAAAACCGACGATGAATATGAGGGTGCAGAGAGTGCATATAAGAATTCCGGAAGCGTTCCTCCGCCTGCCATTGCCTTCCACCAATCGCAACGCTGAGGAAACGCGCTAGAAAACATGCCGGAAACTCGGTCGATGCTTTTTGCGATCGTTCGTGAGATGCGCGAGTCGCGAGAAAAATTGCAGCGGCAAATATCAGATTAGAAGTGATAGATTCGTGATCCTAAACAATGACACATATCATTCTTGAAAGATGTCATGCACACAAAATTATAATTCTGCGGTAGTTTTTACACCACATTTGGAGAAGACAATTCAAGAAGTATTCTCGACTTCAACTAATTAAAGCTTCATAGACTCTGTCTTGATGGTGATTACTGTCGGATAATTGATCCAACTTTAATTAAAATTCCGTTAAAATTTTAAGAAAGAAGAAAAACATCATATTTTCTAAATAATATTTGTCAGCATTATCATTCAAAAATAAAATTAAATGTTCATAAAATAATCCGGGTAAAAATTGAATAGCATCATTAAACGTTATAATAAACATTCTAATTTAATTATCATTTAAATCATTATTAATATCCAATTTGAAATAAATATGAAATTACAACATTAGAGCATTTGCAAATCTCGTGTTAACGATCAAATTTATAAGAATTTACACAATATTCACAAAATATTATTAGTTTGTGTTATGTGAAAATTTTATTGCAGAGTTCTATCGTTATGAATGATAATAAAATAATAATGAAGAGTTAATGTATATATCTATGTATATATCTATGTGTCTGTGTAACTACTTATCTTACTTAACTCGTCCATAAAAAGATTGCAAATCCTTGTTACATTGATAAAAATTACATAATCTCGTACTATTTTCACATATATAATTGTACAACTATAAACGCGATTAAATCGCCAAGGATACTTAATAAAGTAATAATCCCTATGAATTATGCTTGCAATTAATTATCTCCAATTATCTCGCTGGTAAAGTAAAACGTTACGTAAAACAGATCTGGCTTTGCATCCCGTTTTCAAAATTGCAGCACTACGTTACTCTTAGTAACAGCCCGATCCAAAAAATACGATGTAATCCCCAAAGAGTACGGTGCAGCGCTTTTAACGAATGTACCACTCACCAAAGAGTCCGTGTATAGACTAAACGACCAGCTTAACGGACCTTTGGAGAGCGCGCCGGCTTATTCAAGGATTCGACGTTAAGCCGATTCAAAGATTCGAAATCCCGCCTTCGCCGCCATTTCACCTCGATTCGATGATCTAATTTCAAAAGCCAGCCTTTTGTGTTCCGCGTACATATGCTCGCGTGTGTTTGTGTGTCTGTGTACAACGATAAATCCGCGCTTGAGTTTACCGTCGATTGTAAACGTCCGGCAAAACGACGACCCTAATCGTTACGTACGGCGAAGGCGAGTCTACCGTGTCGAAAGCGCTCGTCGAAAGATTGCGAGGCTATCCGGTTAAGTTGTTATTACTATCGGGAAAAATGTGCCACGGTTCGTGCAAAGCGCATCTGATCGAGTCTATCGATTGCCACCAATTTATGAGAGCGAAATCTAATATGTGTATATATGTTTTCATATCCTGCATTTATTGAACATAAATTTACCTCTTCAGACCTGATTTTATTCGAACTATGTTAAAACATTTTTCTTTTATTCCATTCATGCACATTTTAATAAGTAATTCATACTAAATCATTTTTTTCAAAATTTTAACTATTTTTCCAACATATACATTATTATGTACATCAGAGTTCAGATTATATCGGTAGAATTAAATAATTTCAACAGATAATGTCTTCAAATTTGATGTACAATGTACACAGAATTTAAAGGGGCTAAAAGGGATTTCAAAATTTATTGATTAATTGAGAATTTGCATTTAAAAAAATTTTTTTTTTACAAAAGGTCAATATTTTTGAGCTTCGTAATGGATGCTGTATTCTTACTTCCTGTACTGATCGAAGATTATGCAAATGTTAAATACCACAATTTATCTTCGTTTTCATACAAAGTTTCAAGCATATTGTGCTATATCGTAGTCTTCATCAATTTAGATTCCACTATCTCGTAAGAGTCATTAATTTGGTCTAACGAGCTGTGATTAATGGAAGTGCGTAATAATTGTTAGTTCACTACATCTAGTAAAAGCATTACCTTAGATAACATGGTAAATTTATGAAGTAATATAACGGATATATATTATATATCAATTAAAATCCATTTGTCACTGTGTTTTATAATATATTGCAGTTACCAACTAATATAATTCCTAAAACAGATACATAAATTAAATTGTCTGTATCAATCAAACAATGACATCATTTAAAAAACAATTTATTAATACACTAATTAGTTTTTCTGTTATCACGATACGAGTAAAATTTAATTAATTGACAATTTAGAATAATATGAGAAATTCTTTTCAACCACTGCTATTATTTTCTAGCAATAAATGTCTCTTATATGATACATATATATATATAAAACGTATATTTATCGATAGTGGTTCATTAAAAATTATTTAATAGGTAATCGTTTAATATAAATTGTTTTAAGGACACTCGTATGTATAAATAAACCGGCTTCTCGGTGAAGCGATGCATTACTCTTCCCCGATCTTCGCTACAACATTCAACGCGTTGCATTTTTCGACTTTCTTACTAGTCCTAGCCTGCCATTCTTTCGCCTGTTATACCTTCCCATCCTTCCAGCGTATACCTACTCTGTTGTCCCCAGACAGTGAAAAAAGCACCTCTCTCTCCTGTATCCAAAGTTTTACCTCGTCTCTTATCTGCAGCTTACGGACCATCGCATCTCTGCACCCTGTAAGAGCCTGTAGTACGCTACTTCTATCTCGCGCCTCGCCATTTCACGCACACACGCACACACGCACACGTGACGGAAGAACGCGGAAATTGCGATTTCGTCACCCACGATGAACAACGATGGCGTCGGTCGTTTATCCGAGAAAAGCTGTATTCGTTCGCTTCATCGAGCACGCTCTGGGATTTATGGTATAATACAAGAGACACCGTTGTGTTGGTGCGCTTATCGAAAGCAAAGCTTGTCAATGTGAATCTCGTGAAAAATTTCGTTTGGTACAATTGTATTTACAGTAAAGAAACATTATATTTTATAATAATATGTTAAATTTGTTTAATACAAACATAATACATATTTAGTTTGTTAATAATTTAAAGCATTTAGAATTATTTTCTTTTTTTTTAAATACTTGAAAATAGTTGAAAATAGTTCTTATATTAAACACATCTCTATACTGCTTACTAATATTGACTATTTTATTAACAATCAGTTAATTAATAAAATGAGTGTTAGTAATATTAGATGCATATTATCATTAAATTATCATCAGTTGTAAAATGTGGGATGCGAATAGAGGTCATTTAATTTTACGAGTGTCCTTGTTTTGTGGAAGCTTCAAAGTTCTCCCTGGTTTCCTTCATCTTCCCCAATCGACCCTGTTCTGTATTCTCGATCAGTGTCGGCGCCACGTATAGACTAAGAAATAGGTGATCGCGATCAGAATAATCGGAATAATTCAAAGTACGGTACGTAAAATTCGCTGAGTTGGTGTCAAAATGAAAATTCTATTAAATATATATTATCTCTTTCCAGAATGGTAATTTCAATGAATATGTTTTTTTTACATCCTTCAAAAAATATAACACCCTTCCCCCCCTCCCCCATAAAAGTATAAGATTATAAAAATATCAATAATTTTTCGACTTTTATTTCCTATTTAGTTTTAAATAATTTTTCAACAATAAAGATAAAAAAATGTAGAAAAAATGAAATATTTTATTATTTTATAATTATTTATAATTATATATTTCATTATTATTTTTAAATGCAATGGAATTTAAAAGAGTTTTAGTTAAAAATTCAACTTTTTGAAATGTATATCAATGGCATAGTGCTTATTACAATAATGAAATGTTCGCTGTTGAAAATTTATCGAAAAGTTTTATAGAATTTATGGACAATCTAAATAATCTCCGCTTTACTTTGTTAATATCAGTTAAAAGCCATTGAGCAAAACCAATTTGTGTAATAGTACGAATAACGAGAAAAGTAATCCCAATAAATTCGGCGGTCAGTGATCAGACAGCGTTGAATGGCCAGGAAGAGGCCTGCAATAAGCAAACAATACATACACACATATAGACACTTTCAGAGTTCGAGTATCCGAGCCACCGCGGGGTAGTTTAACGTGCGGTCAATTATGTGCAATTAATTCGTTGCTTGGCCTTTTAATCGAATTTTCTCTTGCATTCTCCTGCATTGGTCTATGTGCCCGATTGTGCAATCGTGACTCTTGCGGGCGTCTCAATGAATGAAATTCCGTTTGTACGGCTAGTTTAAACGTACTCGTGTTCAGTAATATATACAATCATAATAAAGTTCGTTGCTGAATAATACAGTATTATTGGAAATCAATAAATTTATATATGCAAAAAAAAATATAATATAATCCCTAATAGAGAAGAATATTACGCAATGCATATAAACTTACTGACTGAGATTCGTTAGATTATTATATATATCAATTTAATATATAATAATAAGAGTTAAAAATGTAAATTTTATATTTACACTTTATTAATTCTTTTTCCTAAGGGGATAAGATACAAAAGCCCCTTAATCTCAAAATATGCTCATCCGCGCCAAATTGCGTTCTGCATGGATTTTCTAAATGCAAAACGAGTACGAAAGCTTTTGCAAATCACTGGTTAATCGCATTAAAGATACTCTTCGTAAGTGTATTAATAATAAAAATGACTGTTTGTGCGTTCTTTGGACTGAAAAGCTGGATAAATCGAGAAAAAACAATATGTTGTGTTTAAGGAGTCGTGGCTGTCAAAAAGTCCGCATCGATTTACTAATTACGATATTAGATAACTTATTTAGACTCACAATCGCAATAGCAGAGGTTTGATCCAAATATCTTCTTCTTCTTCTTGACAATAAAGGTGAGAAAAAAACACGCGCGATAATCACTTTTCACAGGAATTTCAATCACGGATGCCCATAATCGGTTGTTTCATAATGATTTTGGCTGATCGAGATAATAAACATAACAATATCTCACAATAAATATCAATTTAAGAATAAAACTTTCAAATTAATTTCAAATTAGATTTGATAAACGTTCTAACTATAGCAGCGATATAAACAAATTGTGTAATCTTACATTAGAACAATTAAGGAAATCGGTGGCTTGCCAATACAATTTTAACGCTTTTAATATCATTAATTATGTTTCTTTAAAACAAAAATTTCTTTTCTAGAATGTAATTATATAATTCAATGATAATAAAGCTTTTCTATTTATTATCCATCATGTTAACAACCTTACAACTCTTATAAAATATTAAATAAATAAAAATTGTAAAAGAACAATAGAAAGAATATTTAATTAAACAATTTTTTTATATAAAAAATATTTTATATATAAAAAAGTCGTTCTTTGCTTTAACAAAGAAAATGTTAATCGTGCGCATCATTCTTTAATTAATCGCCTTCATTATAAGACGATCATACCATGGATTACGAATGAAATTGGATCGCGAACTTCGTAGTGCATCATTAATAGGATAACTTCCATTCTCGAAGGATATCTAGTTAGTTTAGATCGGACTTCAACAGTGTTCAACCACGATCGCTATTAATGCGACAAGCGAATTCGTATTTACACAAATCCTCTTTTGTAAGAAGATTGTATTGATCAAAAACTTGATCGATCACTAAATTTACTACATAAATTAAATTATTTCCGCGCGCAATAAAAATAATTTTGAGTAATATATGATGTTAAATTCATTTAAATTTTAATAATTATAAAGTTATTCTTAAAATTCTTTTTATTCTAAAAATTTTCCAGAAAAACATTTGTAACATATTTAGCGAGAATAAAATAATAATTTTATGATAATTCTATCAAAATTATCATAAAATTAATTAAATTTGCGCAAACTTTGAACTTTTTCCTCCAACTTTTCTCAAATTAACCGACTATTCATAAAATATTGATCGCTCAGACTTAACGCGTCATTAGAGTTCTTAACTCACAATTAATTTCCTCTAAACATCACTGGCCAATCACAAACTTTGCTCACGTCGTTATACGGCTAACTTCAATCCTCAGAGAACTACGCAATCTTCTCGCAAGAGTTGACGCTCAATCAAAAGGATCGTCATCGACGAATAGAGAATTATTCTGCCAAGTCGTGTGCAGAAGCATTGATCGTCGAATAATTTCGCGTGACAATCATTTCCTCCCGTCAATTAATCGTTATCTGCGACTTGTTGATCTTTCCCTCTTAATCTCACAATGACTTTATTCCAAAGTTTCGACATGCATTGTCGATCAAATTGCACTTGTTGATTGATCCCTTCTACGAATCTAATTTCTGATTTGTGAATTCTTTCACTTCAAAGTAATAGTTCGTAAATCATAAATTTGTGTATATAATAAATTTTAATATGTGTTCATGTATCACGCTATGTTATTTCAAGTGACTTTTTATCATTTCTTTCTTGAATTCGATAATAATATTCTATAATAGAAAAAAAAAAATTTATTAATAATATTAATCATTTATCTCACAACTATTATAACTTGACCCTTTTAAAAATATATGTAGGTAATTAAATAAAACTATTTACGAACATTCAAAAGAATTATTAGCTTATTACGAAAATATTCATTGATAATTCTTGTATACTATTCTCTTTCTATTTAAATCGCAAATAATTCTATAATAAGTATCACAATGATTCAAATAAATTTTTAATTGAACGTAAAGCCACCAATTTCTATCTCCAATGTATTCTCTCGATCACCGTATCTTCCTATCCTTTAATCCTCTTGCCTTGACACTTTTCAAAGATACTCTCGTTCTCAAGTTACGCGCCGTTGTTCGTTTACCAATTAACCGATCCCGTTACCTCCGCGATCTCGTTCCATCCCCAACACGACACTGCCGCAAATTCTCTCTCTCTCTCTCTCTCTCTCTCTCTCTCTCCCCCCCCCTCTCTCTATCACGACTTTCTCTCTTATCAAATTCAGTTTATTCACCGACACTTGTTAACTCTCAACAAAGTTCTCTTGATTCCCAAATGCCCGTAAGTGTTGGATAAAGTTGAAGTATAGAACTCGCGCGAGGATCTCGAGCTGAGATTTCGATCGCGTGTCCGACGACGCCGATCTCGTCGGTTTAATAGGAAAGAGAGAAAGAGAGAACAGGGAGGGAGATCGTGGGATCGACGTCGCGTTGTACGTGGTCAGTTCGGCGTCGTGGAGCGCACTGAGAGAGTATAACAGCCCCGCCCGCTCGCTACGAGGAAACTCGACGCCCGGCGTCGCGTAGATTCATCCCCATCGGTTGCCCGGAGCAACGCCGGCGTACACGGGGAACGACGCAATGCGAGCGCGACGCAAGCGTCCCAGACAGCCACCCCGGACTCCCAGACGATGCGTCGCGTCGCGTCGTGTCGCGTCGCACCGCGAAATGTGTACCGGACGAGAACGGAAGTGGAAGAATCTTACCGCCAAAACTTATCGAATTAAACCGTTCCATCATTCCAATTAATCGAACTAAGATGAGCTATATACGTAATATTCAATTTTATTTTTATCTTCTGCCAGACCAGTTGTTATAATTCTTATTTTTTTGCAATCGAATATAAAAATTCATAAGTGTTAAATTTAATCAAAATATGTTCAGAATTCTAATAAGTTCTAGTATACTACAATTAAGAGATTATTAAATTAAAACAAATTCGATTTGCTTATTATATGTATAAAGTCGGTTTTTTGATCAATTTTATTTGATGAACATTCTTTAAAAGAAAATAAATGTTTGAGTACATGAATTTTGAATACATAATAATGAATTTTTCTAAAATTTGTAATATTATTTTAAGACAATTTAAGATTATTTAGTATATTTTAATATTATTTCAAAAAAATCTTTAAAAATCTTTAAAAATAATCATTATATATTTAAAAAAATTATTTAAAAAAAAAACAAAGTAAATTGAGTACTTACTTTTCTTAGTAATAAAATAATATTTTTTGTGTATAGGTTTTTAAATATCTAACACTGTAAATTTCAAGATTAAAAATAATATTTGATTTATATCATGTACATATATGATATCTATATAAATATAAGATGAGACTTTTTATATACGTATTCTCCATTGAACTCACAGCAATATATATTGTATAAACATATAAATGTATAACGTAACTTAAAAAGTGTATAGAATTTATACGAATAATACGTAACATACAGCATAAAATTTAAATCTGTTATGATAGAAATGATTCAATCGGTATTCTTATAAAATATCTATCTCTGGTGATTCTATAGAGAATCCTTTGATTATTTTATAAAAACAGCAATTAATCATTTTTATCTTTTAATCCACATCTCATAATCATCATTTCGATAATCCTCAAAAATTAATTATCAACTAAATCATTTTATATATTGAAAAACAAATATTTATTATTTATCTCAAAGGATAATTTATAACTCAACCCAATATATATATATATATATATATATATATAATTTCATAATCTAGCTAGTCTCTGATTGGCTCAACAAAATCGTAATTTTGGTCAAAGAGAAAATGGTTATGAAGCGTCATATGCACGCAATATTGAAGCGCATCGGAACAGTTTATAAATGCCGTATGCCCATCCCGCGCACATATCGTATCCAGATATTCATTTTTACATCCATAACAAAGGCACTAACCGTTACTGCAGCACCGCGTGCATTAAGGTCGATACGATAACATAAACTGAGACTCACGACGATCCGCAGTACGTAGCGGGACAGAGATATTCTGAATCACTGATCGAGTTCCGTGAATTGCAAGGCGGTGAGCTCGCACACGCTTGGAGTGCATCGGCTTACCGCGGACACCTTGATGCAGATATGCGAATAATGCGCGTATCCTCTATCGTGTATAAGATTCAATTCTCTGATACTCGCGGAAAGAAATCCTCTGCCATGCAAAATCCATTTTAGAGAATATCGTAGAAATGCGCGTATAGATGAAATACGTGGAAATCTCTTTTGCATTTAATAAATATTGACGCTCCATTTGCAATGTGACTCTTTTTTGGCACAAGGGAAATTTCAAAATTTTTTCGACCTAAAGAAAGACAGAATCAAGTTCCTTTATTCCTAAATGATTCCGATATTTTTAAACAAATTTCCATTCTTTCATTAATGCATTTCTCAAATTTCAATCTATTTTAATAAAGATTTTAAGTTAAGAAATTATTTAGTAATGTAGTAGAGATGTTGAAAAAATAACTCTAAATCTTTCTATATTTTTTTAGAAGCATAAAACAAAAAACTTGAACTGGAAAAATCCATTGCAAACGGAAAGAATAAAAATATGATTACAGAAAGTTAAATACTGTTTAAAAATAATAAAGAATGATAGCGGAAAGCTTGTAATTTCGATTCGAAAGAAAGGAAAAGAAATGTTAGCAAAGAGTAATGAATGTTCGTTTGAAAATATAAATAGATATCCATATCGGAGGGAAACTTTCTTTTAACGGGAAACTATACTGATTGTATATCGCTACACTGATAATCGAGTAGCAGCTATGATTATAATCATAGCATCGAACAGGTCATTTGCGCTTTCAGACACACGGTCGCCAACAGATCAGTTATTGACTTTCAACTTGATCGCTGGATTTGCTATTTGATTCCTGCGTTGAACATACACGCATCAGCCATTGCCTGAATTGAAACCTGATCGTCCCGTCATCTCCATCGCGTCACAACGACGGATGTCTTTGATCGTATCTCGGTTCTACGCGTGGTTAGATTTCAAATATCGTCTGCAACCAGTTATCGTACGGCGTGATCGATCCCGCGAAGCGTTCTACAAACATTAATCTTCGGTCGTCTGACTATCGCTCGACACCACGTCGTAACTTCCATCAATTCGCCGCCGCATCATTGAATAGCCAATTAAACGTTTTCCAGCCGGTTTTAACTTGGAATGTAAAAAGCAGAGAAAATTGACAGTTTATCTAAAGAACAATAAACTCAATTCACAAATCGCGACGTCGTTATTAAATGGCGTAATTATTCGATATTTTTTCGCGATCATTTTCATATCTACGAATATCTTGATATTTTTTTCCGCTCTTTAATAAAAATGGTTTCACTATTTTTATCCGATTTACTTTGTAGTTCCCGCACTTTGTAGTTCTCTGACAAAAATTAACCGCTACTACCTTGCAAGTAGAAACGGCATTAAGTAATGCGTCATAAATGTATTTCTTCACGGCGCACTTCTCGTAACTAAAGCAATCAACATGCTGCATGCTAACTGCAGATGTAGTTTATGCGAGATGACAGGATGATTGATGTTGCAATTGAAAAGGAGTAAATTCCGAATACTCGCTGATGGGCGCGTTAATGGACATCTGCTAGTAGATGTAGAACGAAATCTCATTCATAAATCATATTTTTCTAATTTCTCCGTGATTCCTTCTAGTCTTTACTTTTATATCTATAAAATCCTGAAATTTTCGATTTTTCCCGCAAAAAATACTCATGTTCATTCTTTTCTACATTAAGCTCGACTACGTTCTCACGCAGATCAACATAATTCAGTTGGCGAGTTCATTAAACTCATCTCATCGTTCAAAATTCATCATACTCTCCGATAGCTATCGATATCCGGCGCAGTTCAATTCCAGCTAAATGACTGCGTGAATCTCGATTTTTTTCTATATTCTATCTTCTTCTTTTTATATACGCGCACCGTTTCCGTCCCATTAACTACCCGTCCATCGGCGATTGTCTGATATCGCAGCATACTTCATTATGAGTCGCTATTGACTCATAATCGAGTTAGAATCGTTTAATCTTCCGGAAATCGCACCATTTTATGATAACCCTTTTGTGCATATATATTTTGTTATAATAAAAAATATGATTTAATAGCCTAATTTTTCTGTGCTATTAATCAAGGATTTGGCTCAAATTAATTTTAGTTAAAACTAGGATATATAATACAATAATTAATTAATTTTTATAAAACTATATGCCTTAATTAATCCATACCCTACAAGATGGCCTCACTAATGACCGAGCGATTCCTGTTCGTGCCTGTTTTTTTGAGTCTTTCGGTAATAAATTATACATTTTATTATTTTCCAAAATGAAGTTCCAATATTTATTTATTTTAAAAAGTTGAAAGTATGTTGGTGAATTTTTAGAGATTTTGTTAATCATTCTGAAAAAAACGAATGGATCTAGTAACCCTCGTTTGTATGGATGAGGCACCAGATTGTATCTTGTAGAGTACGGGTTAATTTTAATAAATTTAAAATTAAGCAAAATATTCTTTGTCAATTGACGTTTTTATGCTTCATATATCTCTTATATATGATTACTAGAAAATTAATTTGCGACTGACGCTATCTCTGATATCTCAAATGCGGAATAAATAAACATTTATCTGAAGTAAATGCTATTTCTATGATGACAAGCAGAAGCTGCTAAATTGGATTTCGAAGAGGTGTTAAGCGACAATGTCGTCGAAAAGGGGACACGCAGAGTTTCTCATTATAGACCTGTCTAATTTTCTTTTCATCAACTCCGTCGTCTCCCGTATTCCTTCCATTAAAATCCATTTTAATTACAAGTATTCTACCGTACGTTTCCTCGCGCAAGAAAGTGTTGAGTATATTTTGCGTGAATGACATAGCACTGGCGAAATGCGTTTTATTAAATATTTTCCCTTGGTTTCTTCTAGTCGCGCAAAAAACTGATAAATTTCAAAAATATGTAAAACGATATGTATTCAATATAAGATCGTAAAGAATTTGAAATATTGATATAAAATTTTTTTTATCTATCTTCATATATTTTTGATAATTGCAGGAGTTGATGTAAGAATCGCAATTTGCTAAAAATATGTATTATAATCCTTTCCAAATACATTTAAGGATTAAACGAAGTTCGGGCCTAACAATTCGCGCGGTGCAACGTGCCTTATCGAGCGTCAGCAAATACAAATGTAAATCCACTTTTGCGGAAAATGGGCCGCGAGAGAAAAGGGTACAATCTGATCATTCACGATAAATGGACGAAACATGGTGGGCAGTCTGTGAAAGTTCTGCAGCGCAGATGAGGAAACAAGAAAGAGGAATAATGCTTAAATCTGGATAAACTGCTTCAGTTTTTAATGCAACTGTACCCCTTACTATACCAATATACCCTCCAGACAAATCTTTTGTAGAGTCACAAAAGATTTGTCTAAAGGACTAATAAAATAAAC